CCTAATTTCAATTTCCAAATTGAATTTTGCAACATAGAAATCATATTTTCGAATTTGAATTTGTAACTTTTAGAGGATATTAGTTAGGTCCTTTTACCGATTGCATCCCGCAAGACGAGCATCTTTTCGATGCAACGACGTGCAGTTCGACCTACCCCATCCTCATCCGACGATCTTCGGCGCGTAATTTTTTCGCGTCCTCCGAAAAAAAAAGGCGAACGATTCCGCTCGAAGCGCAATAAATTTCGGCGTTATCGGGGGCGTAAGGAGACGCGCAATAAGGGCGATGATAAATGTTTTAACTTTCAACTCTGGGGCCAATTACGAAAGCATAAAATCCTCCTTAAACTTAAACAGAGCTAAAATCTGAAATCTACGTTCAGGAACTAAAATTAGAATTACTTTCCCTACATTAAATACAGCGCCATTTTGCCGCAAAAATCGCACAAAAATGAACCTTATACGCAACTACAAATAAGGGTGAATATCTTAAATAAAATCTAAGGCATATACTTACATGAGGGTCGAATTTTCTAGAGGGATGTTTGTGTTAAGCTTTAGAAATAACACAGGCTAATACGAACCTTATGGAGAGACGTCGAAAGTGCCTTCGCCAGCGTGATTCACGAAATGTAAGAGGGTTATTTTAAAGCGGGGTTGGCCAAGTTGGAAACGAGGGATCAAACATTAAAATAAGGAGAACGACGCGAGCTTTTCTTTCGCGCAAAGAAAGAGGACGTTTTTTTTCGGCTCCCCCTCGAAAACCGCCGCCGTTCTCCGCGGGCTCGGGGCGGAATTGCGTTACGTTGTACAATTTTTTTTTCGCCCCGAGTCTTAAAGGAGCAAGGTAAATTATGCAGCGATCGACGATGTTTCGGGGCGTCAAAAACTTTCGACGGGAGAGAGAGAGAGCGGCCCTTAACGGCGTGGTTTCCGACGTACTAAGCTCGTTATTTTCTTATCTTTTAATTTCCGTTTTAATATTAGCAAAGTTTGTTCGACATCAACTTAAACTGAGCTCAAAACTAATTAAAATTTGAGTATACAAGTGGAGTTTCCAAGTTTTACGCGAGTTTTACTTATTCATAACCTCAATGATGGATGCAATCCGTATTAGGTTTATTACGTATACATGCGCTCGTAAATGCCCCACGGGTCTGGAAAAATCGTGCCGGCATGCCAGAAATGGCTTGGTATTATTTCAGATAACATAAACAGCTGTTTGTTCGCTGCTAATTCCCTAAACGCAATAGGAGGACTTGGCATCTAATCGAATCAAACACGGAAAAATGACCAATTTATGACGAAAAGGTCATTTTTAAGACTAATCGGTTTTCCACGCACGGGATTGAACATTTTATGGAATCTTGGGAGGGGTTGCACGAGGTTGCTAGATGGCTTCTGATCTAAGGTTTTGTATACCTTCATCCTCTCATAAAAATTTATTCGGAGACCTTTGAACTGAGCTTCTTTAAAAAAAAACCTTGAACAGTATAGGTTAGGTGGTTTTTGGGTAATTCTTGCGAGGTTTCTGGAATACTCTTAGAAAGCCTCTTGAAACATCTCTGACAGTCTTCTGTCAAACTGAGATTTAAGAGATTTTATCACGATTCGTTAAAAGTCAAAATCTACATATCAAGCTTCTAGACCATATTTGAAGCCTCCTTCTCCAATAGCAGGACCGCTCCAAAGAACAAGACTGCATTTTCGGCACCCTTCTTCAAACTGTAATACGCAAATATCAAAACTACATTTTCTTTTAAAACTTCAAATGAAGAAATATAGATTTTAAGCCCTCCAAATTCTTGAAGTTTCTACTCTCCATTTTTCCTTTTTTGCTGCGGGGTATGGAAAGCTTCCCAGACCCCCAGGGCTAAGCTTTCTGCAACACTTCTGAAGGGGAGGTAATTTGATAATTCGTACACAGAAAAATATCACGAAGGAGTGTAGGCGGTTCGTAGAACAAAATGTTTAAATTTGATTTGTAGAAAAACACCCTCAGCCATTTGTAACATAATTTTCTGGAAATTGTAATCAATTTTCTCTTTTTGCTGATCCCCCCCCCCTCCCCCGTAACAGTTGTCTTCAGTACTGTCGTGGTAGTTTCCGTGTGCGAATGTTTACATTATTTCCCCCTAAGAACAACTACCACCCCGGTAATTATCTATTAACGCCATTTTATAGAAGAGCTCCCCCCCCAAGTACACTAACGCCATTTTATAGAAGAGCCCCCCCCCCCCCCCAAGTACACTATAGTTCTATTACTATTTTCTAAAAAAAAATACGACTTTTAACATCATTGTCCGGAAATGACCACCACCTACTTTTCTTTTTTGTTGGGAGAGGGTATTGCTGGGACCACCCGATATCCCCCCCCCCCCCCATCTTCTGCCAATGCTCCCTTCTCCAAGGTACTCGCGTAGTTTCTGTGTACGAATTATATACATCCTTTCCGTCTAAGAATTACTTCAGAGAACCCGGGGTCTGGAGATATAAAATCCCCCCCTCCCCCCCCAAGAAAAATAGATGACACTACAGTTCTATTTCCATTTACAGAAGAAAACCATGGACCACTTTTAACACAATTTTCCGGAAATAGTTATTCATTTTCACTTTTCGATGGGGGGGTTTTGATGGGGTCTAGGATGGGGTGGTTTTCCATACTCTGCCGAGCCCCTCGGTAACGCTTTCATTAACGAAGTTCCTTCACTACCCTCGTTGTAGTGTTAGATTTTCAAAAACCAACATGGCGGATCCAATATGGCAGACAGAAATGTCGAAATTTTGTTTTTAAATGAAAGTCGGTTAGTGGGGTTTTTGGGCGCGATAATTGAGAATTTAAATTTTTAATACATAGAATGGAGGATCCATTTTGCCGGATAAAAGTTAGGAACAATTGTTTTTAAACGAACGTTTTTGAGTGCGCTGATTAAGAATCTGATGTTAGATTAAAAAAAATAAAATGGCGGTTTCAATATGGCGGATACAAATTACGAAAAATCGTTGTTCATGATTTTCGTTAATTGGTCATCAATTTTGCGGGAGGGGGGGGGGGGGGATATTCCATACCCCAAGCCTTCCTGGCCTACGTTTTCCGAAACACTTCTTAGGAAAAAAAGATTTGATAATTCGTACACAGAAACTACAACGAGGGTATTGAAGTGATCTTGTAGAAGAAAGCATTATCGAGGGGGCTCACCACCCATTAATACCTCCCATCAAAAAATAAAAATGCATGACTATACCTATCTATACCTATTTTTACTTTTTGATGGGAAGTATTGCTGAGAGGTATCCCCCCCTCCTCCGGCATATGATCTCTTCTACAAGATACCTTCAGTACATCCGTGGTAGCTTCTGGTTACAAATTATTAGATCTTCCTCCTAAAAAGTAAAAGTGGTTCAGAGAACGTAGCCCTGGAGATCTGGGGAATACCCCCCCGCCCCAAGCCAAAATAAGAAATCGATGACAATACAGTTCTACTTCCATTTGCAGAGAAACACCACGACCACTTTTAACATCATTTTAGGGAAATGGGCATCCATTTTTCCGTTTTGCTGGGATCATAGGCGGGGAGGGTGCTTTTCCCAAGGGGGTATTTCAATACCATCCATACCTCAGATACGACCCTCCCACCCTTAGAACTCGCCCCACCTTTGGAAGGTTTTGGGAAGAAGACTAAATAATGTTTTTCTGTAATTATAACCCCCCCCCCCCCCAGACCTCCCGGTGCTACGTTCTCTACAGTGTGAAGAAGCGTACCTCATACTTTTTCAGAGCAATTTTAATGCGAAATCTAAAACATGAACAATTTGTGTCAGAAAGCGTTACCGGGGGGTCTGGGGGGTATGGAATACCCCCCAGGTATGGAATACCCCCCAGTACACGACAAGTATCTTGCAATTTTTCTAGAATACCACCATGACGGAGTGCTGAAGTTTATAGGGAAAGGGTCTTTCTTTGCTGGATGGTTTTGAACCCCCGGCAATTTTAACATAACTTTCCGGAAAGGATTATCAACTTTTTCGATTTCTGGGGGGGTATTGTATCCCCTTCCCCCTCCAGACGCTACGTTCTCTACAGTGTGAAGAAGAGTACCTCATACTTTTTCAATTCAACAAGTTGTGTAAGAAAGCGTTACCGGGGGGTCTGGGGGGTATGGAATACCCCCCAGTACACGACAAGTATCTTGCAATTTCTAGAATACCACCATGACGGAGTGCTGAGGTTTATAGGGAAAGGGTCTTTCTTTGCTGGATGGTTTTGAACCCCCGGCAATTTTAACATAACTTTCCGGAAAGGATTATCAACTTTTTCGATTTCTGGGGGGTATTGCATCCCCTCCCCCCTCCCGACCTCCCGGTGTTACGTTCCCTACAGTGTGAAGAAGAGTACCTCATACTTTTTCAGAACAATTTTAATGCGAATCCTGAAACATGAACAAGTTGTGTAAGAAAGTGTTACCGAGGGGTCTGGGGGGTATGGAATACCCCTCCCCCCCAGTACACGACAGATACATTGAAATTTCCAGAATACCACCATAACGGAGTGGGGAGATTTATAGAGAAAGGGTCCTACTTTGCTGGAGGGTTTTGAACCCCCGGCAATTTTAACATAACTTCCCGGAAAGGGCCATCGACCTTTTTTGATTGCTGGGGGGTATTCCTTTTTGTGGAGGGTGTTTATCCAAATTAAGATTGCACTCTTTGGAGACTAAATTAAGAAAAGGAGTTTTTTGACGAAGAACTCCATAATGTGTTTGAGTAATTAATTATACGTAAAGAAAGAGAGCTATGAATCTGTGTTTCAATCAAAAGTTGGAAGAATGAATTTTCAAATTTGACACTTTGAAGCTTCCACCCTTAAATATGAAACAATATTAATGTCGATTGTTCTGAAGCGGTATTTTTACCAGCTCGCTACAATGAAAGGTGCAAGTACTTTACGATATTAAATGAGATTGCTCGAGAATTTTGTTAAAAAGAAATTTTCGTTTCAGATCAACATCAAAATGTAAATCCAGAATCGGACTCATCCATCAGCAGCCGGCCACGCCAAAGGAAGAATGCACCGACAAGACAACCGATCAAGATAGACAGCTTTACACTTCTACGGACAGAATGCAAACAACGCGTTCCCCATTCAAGGCGATGGACAGCGGGCCCGCACAAAAAGAAAGGGCGAACTTAAAAAAGCGACGCATCGAAAATACACCTAAGATAGAGAGAGGGGTAGAATCCTTTACAACGAAACCCAAACAAGGGGAAATCTACTGAAAACCTTACAGTAAAGTAAAATAGGGGTAAGGGGATATTTTAAGGAGGGATTGCTAACTAGGAAGCTGGGGGAGTGGCCTGATGTAAGAAATCAATGATTTCAGCCGCCCCCTCGAAGAGTTTCCTGTGTTCTCTCGTACATTTACCTTAAAACTGATTTTTTTGCACGCGCCCTCAATAAAAAAACTTTTCCGCCTTTTTTCCACGGAAGAAAAAAAATCATTTTCGCCTTCGGCCGCATAAACAAACAATCGGAGGATGCTCCGACCCCCGAGAAGACTTCGCATAATTCATAATGTAAATTACTAAAACACCCCATTAATTAAAGCCGTGATTTCTAACACGAACATTAAGAATATATTTCATGCCTTTGTAGGTATACTTACGGCAAGTCAAAAGTTATAACTCCTAAGTTTATGTAATTGCCCTGGAACGAAGGAACTTGAAAGTCATAAATTTTGGTTTATAATTATACGATGTTATATACGACTTTCTTACCCGTTCGCGTCGCGACTTTTTCGAGCGCCCCTCCGCCGAGCGCGTGTTCAGTTTTTGGGGTTGGAAATTGTAAGTCAACTGCCTGCTTAGATTTTTCAGCTCCAAACGACGACACCGGTCGCGTCGTACAGTGCAGGAGAACTTGCCGATGATCCCTCGTATACTCACCCATTCCAGTTTAGCTTACATTTTTTTTATCACTCCACCTCGTACAATAACATCGGAACTTGCCGGTGCACCCTCGTATACTCTCCCAGTCCGGTCATCAAACTTCACGACATTACCTCGTACAGAACTTGCCGGTTCACCCTCGTATGCTGTTTCGGACTACTCTCTCCGCGCGAACTTTAAAGCTCTGGGACGTTCATGTCACCAACACAACAAAAAATACTTTTTACGTTCTTTTTTCGTCATTTTTCATTTGCTTAAAATTCGAATTGGTTGTCACATTTACGTCATTTTTTTTGTTCACAATACCAAATATAGAAAAGTCAGTTTAGGTATATAATAATAGACAATAAAAGGGACAAAGATTCCAAATTGGTACTTTTCACGTTATTTTTTCGTCATTTTTCATTTGAGCTATGTTTATAAATGGGATTAGAAGATAGAAAAATTGGTCCTTTTTACGTCAAACTTTCGTCGAAAACCTGAAATAAGCATCAGAAAGCGTTGAAACAGAATTACAGACAATGGTTCTTGTTACGTCATTTTTTCGTCATTTTTCATTTGATCTATGTTTATAAATGGGATTAGAAGATAGAAAAATTGGTCCTTTTTACGTCAAACTTTCGTCGAAAACCTGAAATAAGCATCAGAAAGCGTTGAAACAGAATTACAGACAATGGTTCTTGTTACGTCATTTTTTCGTCATTTTTCATTTGATCTATGTTTATAAATGGGATTAGAAGATAGAAAAATTGGTCCTTTTTACGTCAAACTTTCGTCGAAAACCTGAAATAAGCATCAGAAAGCGTTGAAACAGAATTAAAGACAATGGTTCTTGTTACGTCATTTTTTCGTCACAAACTAGTTATGTTTCACTAAAGTAAAGCACAAAAAATTTATTCGTTGGTGATTTCGGGATTCAAAAATATCAGAATCACGCCAAGCTTGAGATTCGGATATGTTCCATAAACAGGTCATATTTACGTCAATTTTGTGATCGTGCCCAAGTGCAGAAAAAGCAGTTTAGATTAACAATAGAAGACAGTAAAAGATAAAAAGGACAAAGATTCCGAATTGGTACTTTTACGTTATTTTTTCGTGATTTTTCATTTGGAGATGCTCATAAAAGGATAAACCAAGCGCAAGTACTAACAAATTGGTCCTTTTTACGTCAAATGTTCGTCGAAAACTTGAAAGAAGCATCAGAAAGTGTTGAAACAGAATTAAAGACAATGGTTCTTGTTACGTCATTTTTTCGTCACAAACTGGTTTTGTTTCATTAACCTAAAGCACAAAAAAATGATTCGTTGGTGATTTCTGGATTCAAAAATAGTTGCGACTATATTTAATTGAATCAGTATCGGTGAATCCCTTCGTTAAGCTTGAGATTCGATATGTTCCATAAACAGGTCATATTTACGTCATTTTTTGAAACACGCCCAAATGTAGAAAAAACAATTTAGGCGAATAATATGACAATAAAGGATAACAATGACAAAGACTCCGAATTGGTACTTTTTACGTTATTTCTGCGTCATTTTCATTTGAGCTAAATTGATAAGAACGTACAAAAATTGGTTCTTTTTACGTCAAACTTTCGTCGAAAACATGAAAAAAGCACCAGAAAGCGTTGAAAGAGAATTAAAGACCGTGGCTCTTGTTACGTCATATTTTCGTCACCAACTAGCTTTGTTTCATTACCCTAAAGCAAAAAAATTGATGATTTTTAGATTCAAAAATAGTTCCAACTAAATTAATTTTAATCAGGATCGATGAATCCCTACGCTCAGCTTGAGATTCGGATATGTTCCATAAACAGGTCATATTTACGTCATTTTTTGTGATCACGCCCAAATGTAACAGTTTAGGTAAATAATAATAGACAATAAAGAATGTAGGAACAAAAATTCCGAATTGGTACTTTTTACGATATTTTTTATTTGAAAATAGATAAGAACGTACAAACCTTGTGTAGAAACCTGAGCTAGTTCTCGACGGCACCGCCAGGTGTGCAAACACAAATTGGTCATTTTTCCGTCACCATTTCGTCGAGAGTCTGAAAGAAGCGCCAAAAAACGTAGGCAACCGATTTAAACGCAATACGTCATTTTTTTGATCATAAATTAGTTTTGATTCACTAGCAACAAGTAACAACAAAAATTGATTCGTTAGAGGTGATTTTTCGGATTCAAAAATAGTTGCAACTACAATTTAATTTAGTCCCTGTGAAAGGACTAGTATATCCCTACGCTAAGGCCGAGATTCGAATATGTTCCGTGAACAGGTCACGTTTACGTCATTTTTTTTGTGATCAAAATAGCAGTTTCCGAATTGGTACTTTTAACGTTATTTTTTCGTCATGTTTTATTTGGAGGTATTTTTATAATTGGATAAGAAAGTGCAGGTGCTTGTACCAGTTCGTTAAAAGTCGACGGTCCCACCAGGTCTGCATACATTGATCCTCTACGTCAAATTTTCGTCGAAAGCCTGCGTCAGAAAGATGATGACCTTTGTTACGTCATTTTTTCGAGCCAACAATAATTTTGAAAGCGTACCTCGCCGTTAGGAATAATTTAAAAAAGTAATCAACTAATTCAATTTAATCCATGCGAAAGGAGCTGTGAATCCCTACGGGACAGGTCATATTCACGTCATTTTTGGTGATCAGGCCCAAATATAGAACTAGACAATGATAAATAGAAAGAAAAAATTTTGGGATTGGTTGTTTCTACGTCATTTTTTCGTCTTATCTGTTCCATAATCGCTACCAAAAAGTGACGTTTACGTAATTTCTTCGGTTTTAATTTAAACAGAAAAAAACATCAGTTAAGTAATTCAAAACGTGAAAAAAGCAAAGATTTTTACGGCAAAAATTTAGTCCATTTTACGTCAGAAGGGCCATTTGTAAGATAAAACGATTTTTTACAGAACAAGCTGTTACGTTACAGTTGCATTTTCAGAATTTTTTTAAAATTATTTTATTGGATCGTAGCATTAGTCTTTTTCTCGTCACCATCCCAAATGACTATTATTAATTATCAAAATCGGTACAGTAGCCTCGCGATAAAATTCCCTACGTCACGTTATACATCTCTCCAAGCAAACTTAGAAAAGTATCAGAACCTGGTCATTCTTACGTCATTATCCTAAAAAGTCTATTCAAAAATAATTTCATGGATCCCAGGCTAATAGAAAAAGTAGTGTTGCCACGTTTATAAATATAAAAATCATTTCAAAAACACAAAAATCTAGCAAGCGGATTTTTACGTCATTTTCTCATCACTAGTCCAATAGCTTGTGCATGTGTGAATCAGATTATTCTGTTCAGCACTACATTAAAAAAATGTTTACAAAGAATCTCATTGATCCAATTGAAGTAGTAAAAAATAGAAGAACCTCAGTGTGGCTATAATTTCAAAATCTGGAAAATTGATCATTTTGTAGCCTAATAAATGTTGGGAATTGCTCGCGGAAAGTGCTCTGAATTTTGTCATCAGCCTAAAGAGAGCTTTCAAAAGACATTTGATTGGTCCCAAATTAATCAAAAAACCATTCCGGTGTTTAAAAATATGAAAACTTCAATTGAAGTCAGTTTCGTTTCTAATTATGAGAATAATTTCAGGTCATTTTTACGTCATTTTGTTGTTACTAGCACAGAATTTATTGCATGTGGCGTTTCAAAACTGTTCAACTGACCTCACACCGCGCAAAGAATCCCTTTCACGTCACATTTTCGTCGCCAACTTACGAAAAGGTCTAAAGCTACCGTTGGGCTATGGCATTCGTACCGAGAAATTTATATTCAATGGCCATCCAAACAAAATACTTGAGAGAATATCAAGCTGATCTAGTGAATTGGTCCTTTTTACGTCAATTATTCGTCACAAACCTAAAAAATTAGAAATCTAGATATCGGATAGTCAATTGTTTGTCAGAAACCTAATTCGTGGAGAGCCGGTATTTGAAACAAATTTCAAAACGTGAGAGTATCGTCGCGAAGATGCTCTTACTAAAATCTTTTTTTACGTCAATAAAACGTCACAAAAACACCAGAAGCCTCTTTACGTCAATTATTCGTCATAAACAAAATACTATGGCTTTTATTACGTCACTTTTCCGTCACAAATTCGCAGAGGCATTTTTAATATCGCCTATTAATCAAATCTCAATTGCTCATCAAAAATAAGGTCTTGGAGATGTCCTGTGCTTAGTGAATTTTTTTATGTTAGAAAACAATACGAGCCAGAAATCCGAAACGACATCGTTTTTACGTCAATTATTCGTCACAAAATTAGAGCCTTGAAGCTATCCCGAATGCAGTTAATTGGTTCGTTATTATACACCGTAGAATCGTATGATCTTATTTACAAAGAAAAACAAACATCAAAAACCGTAGAGGTATTGTCGAATCACATGGTCTGGAATTGGTACTTTTTACGTCAACTATTCGTCACAGGCCATCAGTAACCGTGGGCGGTATCCTGTATTTTGTAAATTTACGTCAATTAAACGTCACAAATCTAGTCCTTTTTACGCCAAATTATGGAAAAACACAATCAAAAAGCGTAGGAATATTGGTAAGATCGCGTTTAGGTCACGAGTTTGTCGGTTTTTAAGAATAATTAAATCAGTAAATTGCTGACTAGCTTGGATCTCATGAACCAATCAAAAATGTATGTATGTTCGTCCACTTTTCATTTTTTTTTTCACTTTGTCATAGGGTATTAATTTCATTTTAAATGTTAATCCAATACAACTTCTCACAAATGTCAACCATTACTGGGACGTCATTTTGATGCCTTCATTTCAAACTAGACGCACTATTAATCCAGTACAACTTCTTATAGGTGCTAAGACATTTTACCTCATTTTTACGTCATTTTTACGTCATTTTTACTTCGATTGAGTTTGACTTCTTCGCGTAGTGGACGAACGTAGCTCACAAGATGCTTATGGTCTAAATTTGAGTATGGAATAGTTCGTCTGCGTGTACGTCAAAAACAATTGGGAACATTCGGACCCATTTACACAATTGACTCAATACGTCATTAGTACGCCATTTTTACGTTTCTTGCCTACCACCAAATTTATAAATATTCACTTTGACGTCAGTTTGACGTTTTTCATTGCCCAACCAAATAGGAACGTCATTATTACGTCACATTAAGATTAATGTAAGAACCTAGTTTTTTCGCTAAAATCAAGCGTGCCGGATTGCGGCTCAGGGTAGATCATTCATACGTAATTTTTAGTCGAAAATCAGTTCATTGTTACAGGCGTTTTCTGATCGCTTTCTGATGGTATTTTTTTACAATTGAGCCAATGGAATAGTTGACTGAAGGACAAAAATAGGTTTTTATTTTGATTTTGATTTTAAGAACTCATATGCCTAAGACGTCTTTTTTACGTAATAGTCATTTTTACGTCACATGTTTCACGTGAACAGTTCGTTTCGACTCAGAAACACAGAGATTCTGGGTTTCTTTTCCTTGCAACAAACTCAAAGCGCATTTTAATTGAAATTCATTCTCTAATTAAAGCAGGAACCGCGATAGTAATTTTAACAACGTCGAGCTTTTGTTTGCTTTAGTGCTACTTCATTTATCGTAGGTTTTCCAAGGCACACTAGATGAATAATTCATTTTCTCATCTTTAATTCCATTAATCTTAAATTCAGAAACGGCGCGAGGCCGCCTTTTCCGTTCAGACGGCGCGATTCGTCCCCGAAATTGGTCTAATTAATTACTTTTTAACCGCGCGCGTCAATTAGAGCGGGGGGCGAAAAAAAAGAGAAACGCGCCGCTAATAAACATGTTTACACCCCTTTTTTTCCGAGTTAATTGAGCGAAACCGGCGAGTTTTAATTACGCGAGAAAGAGGAGAGAAAAAAAACCAGTCCATTTAACGCAATCAAAAACACTTTTTTACAAGTCCAGAGTTAATTCCGAAACCCCAAACGAGACGGCACTTGGGGGATTTTTACGGCAACAAGTGATTTTTATCCCTCTCGCTCGCGGCCCGCTCCTCGTGATTAATACGTGTTTGCGAGCTCATAAAAAATTTGATCTAATTTTCCGGATTATAACCTCGTTTTTTTTCCTCCTCCCCCTACTCCCCGATTAATTATGTAAGGGCTTTTTTTCCGTTTTAGGTTTTAGCGTTCTAATTCTCGTTTTATTAATAAAATTAATCTTAAGTAATACGCATACAACTGTTTAATTAAATTTAGACTTTAATTTGTAAGTTAATTGTTAACTAAATTAAGTGCCCTTATTTCTTTCATTATATTTTTATTATTATTACTCTTTATTTGTAAGTTTTCGATTGTATTAGATTTTATGATATTGTTTTGTGTTCTGGAATAAATAAAATGTACTAACTTTTGTCTTGGCAAGACGGCGGGTGGTTTTAATTTTTGATAACCTAATTAATTAGTCTTCGCGCTCTTATTATTAGAGTGAGGGAGGGGTTGTTGTTGAAATAGATTTCCTCCAGGTAACTTCATTAGTGTTGCGTTTCCGCCTGCGATTTTCTTACATTGTTTATTTACCGAGGAGAAGCCTTTTCATTAGGAATTGGTTGTAGTCTCCGTGGAAGAGTGAAACTCCCCGTGTCTCAACCTCCCCCATATTGCAATATTCATAAGAATGTGGATAAGTGACCAATTCCGTTGTCCCATTCCTTACCGCAGTTTTAGTTACGAAGTGTCGCCATTTCCAAATTAATAATAAAATCAAAAATTTAAAAAAATGCACATTAAAAAAGGTGCTGAAAGAGACAGCGAAGTTTTGAATTTTTTTTTCAAATAGACAATTGAGCTGATGTAAATTAATGTAACGCAGAATAAAAATTCAAAACAAATTAAAAATTTGAATGTTTCACAAAGTACTAATTTCAAAAAAGTAAAAAAATATTATAGATGACAGACAAAAATTAAAAAAAAAACGAAATAGAAGGAAAATAAAAAATTAAAAAACACAATCCTTAGGAAAGTGATGTTTTGCATGAATCTGGTACCAAAAAACCAGAACCAGACCCCCCCCCCCCACCCCCGGTATCGCATGACAGTCACTGAGGAATATTATAAGGGCTCGTTGACTCTTTCGCTGTAACCCTCCGTACCTTTATGGTAATGTTCTAGAAATTGGAATTGAACTCTCATATGCTGGGGAGGGGGGTATTCCGTACCGCCAGACCCCTCTGTAACTTGCTTCCACAAACCTTATGCTTTCAGGAGTGTTTTTTTTAAATATCAGATCCTCCTCTCTTAAGAAGTACTGTACAGAACGTAGCACCGCCCGGGGGGTCTGTGGAGGTTTGGAATACTCCCCAGCAAAAAAAGGTAACTTAAATAACCGTTTCTGGAAAATTATATTGAAAGTACAGAAATGCTCGTTGGCCCATTTCCATAATCCTCCTCCTTTCCACCCGCGTGGAGGAAGATCTCGAGCTCCAATCCCCCCCCCCCCTCCCCAGTCGATGACAATCAATTTAAATTCTTGTAGTTATTTTATCTTTATCATTTTCAAGGGTTCCTTTAGTTTCGCCTGTGAGTACAGTTTGTAGTGTAGCTCCTATAGTTACTGTAGCATCTGTTGTTTTTGTAGTTTTTTATGGTACGTGTAGTTCGGGAAATGTATCCTCATGCAACAACTGTAGATCTTTTAAATCCTGCAGTAACTTTTTCTGTGATTCTAAATACGGTAGTTCCAGTGGGAGGCTACAGAGACTACAGTTACTACCATATAGTGACTACAGACAGAGAAGCTACTGAGGCTACGTTGACTACGGATACAAGGGAGGCTACGAAGAGTAGAGGTACTACAGTGTAGCGACTGTAGAGGGATCATGGACATGTACAGGGTGGCCAAATAAGAATGCGAGGTACTGTACCTGGGAACCTCTCCATTGTAGAAGCTTGCGGTAAAAAAATTTATTACTAAAACGGCCACGAGAAAAACCTGAAAAATATTTTTAAGTTTCTGCAATGGCCGCTAGGGCGCGTAACTGCAATCTGAATCTAAAAAAATGATTTTTCCGTGAATTCCGCTATATTAACCTAACAAAAAAATGTCCGGTCTTTGAAGTTGACGATAATCTGAACCTTTTTTGTTTGACAATTTTTCCTGTATCTCTAACAAGAAAGTGGTGGTGGGATATTCAAAGTTTTCCGTAGAGAACACCCTGTATCTTCGAAACGACTGAGTCGATTTTAACAAACTCGGGTTAATTGGAAAGAGTTATTCTTCGGCTACATATATTATAATATTTGAAGTTTTGTTAGTCTATATATATATAGATATATAAAGTTCAAAGGGCTGTAACTTTTGATCTAGTAGTCCAATCTTGGAACTGTTTGAAATTATGGATTCTACGGGCCAAACTTTATAAGAAAATGTTTTTTCCCGGTCGATCTCAAGACAATTTTTTTTTCCGACCTCAAAAAAAGGCAGTGTTATACCTTCCTTTTTTTCCAAAAATCGACTGCTCCAAAATTTCTCGGGAAAACACTTTTTCTCATTAATTTTGGTGCGTAGAATCCAAAACGATTCGTACTTTTTCGATCAGACGTCTCAATCAAAAGTTATGGACCAAATACAAATTTCGAATATATATATATATATATATATATACATAAAGTTCAAAGGGCTGTAACTTTTGATCTAGTAGTCCAATCTTGGGACTGTTTGAAATTATCGATTCTACGGGCCAAACTCTATAAGAAAATGTTTTTTCCCGGTCGATCTCAGACAATTTTTTTTCCGGCCTCAGAAAAAGGCAGTGTTATACCTTCCTTCCTTTTTTCCAAAAATCGACTGCTCCAAAATTTCTCGGGAAAACACTTTTTCTCACTAATTTTGGTGCGTAGAATCCAAAACGATTCGTACTTTTTCGATCAGACGTCTCAATCAAAAGTTATGGACCAAATACAAATTTCGAATATATATATATATATATATACATAAAGTTCAAAGGGCTGTA